TAATATTCAATAAAAAAATAAATTTATTAATAAAAATTGCATCTCTTACATAATTCTTGATGTAAATCGATTATTTTTTTTTCATTCCTCCTTCTCTTCTCTGATCATTTTCTATAGTAAAATACTATAAGGTCACCGAAAAGCCAATCTATTTTCCATCACCGATTAAATTTTGATATGCGTAAAATTTATGGCGCATATCATATTCATAATTAAATTTAGTGCTGTATAAATTCAACAAACGAGACGGAAGATGAAAGTTTATCGATATGACTCGTAAGAAAATTCCGCTGATATTTAGATTCTTGTTCTTGAGAAAAATCGTCGGTGTCGATGTATGGCTAACTAAATCGCTATCGCTCGCGTCGTACGGTGCGTATCGGTTTCGCGGATGGGTGTGATTTGCGGTCGTAGTCACGAAACGCTCGAGAAACACGACTCACCGCAAGAGGTATGCGTGCTGCTAAATCATCGAGCTCGCGCCTCGATCGTACGATCAGGGAGAAAGAGAGAACGAGCGCGATAATGAAGCGAGTCGGGGAACACGCGGCAATCTAACGGGACAAAACAAAGAAGAGAGTGACTCTAAAAGAAAGTATAAAATAGGACAACGCGCATATCACCGAGCCTAAGTAAACTCTCAGGGGTTTAAAGATAACGGGACGGGAACGAGAATCCATTTCGAGAGACGGCACGGCGTGCCGTTTCTTTACTTTTATCATAATACGAAAAGAAAGATAAGAGATATGTACGTGTGTATTTTCACGTGTGTGTGTGTATTTCACGTGTAACCGAGCTTGACGTTCTGTAACATAAAACTCAAACCGACGACGAACATTTCATCGTCGATCACGGTCACTTCCGACTTTTTTTTCTCTCCTAGAAAATTAGGATAAGGATCGTTACCGGCGTCGTCACGTTAATCTTCCGACACGGCTCCTCCGATAACGTACCGCGCGACGTCAATGTGACGGCATCTCGAAATGTTCCGCCTCGTGGTCGAAATTAATCACCCGAGTTCGCAACGCTGACAGGATTAAGCCGTGAGAATCTAATGATACGCTATCGGGCATGAGTTGCCAAATTTATCGTGCTACGGAAAGAGCCGTTTTATTTCGAGATACATGCCACTGTAAACATTGCCGTCTGTACAAGGATTACAATAGATTACAACAGATAAATCCATTAACTTACAAAAACACATCGTTTACGCGTCGTAGCGAGCGGTGATATTTTTTTCCCTCGTCACGTTTCTTTCGAAAGATAATGGTACTGACAACATTTAGTTTTAAGTTAAAAAAAAAAAAAAAAAGTAGCAATCTCACTGAGATAAAACTGCAGTTCGATTAATTGTAATCGTACGTCGGCCTGCATTAAGGCCTGCGTTAAACGACGCAAGCCGATATTGGCGTAGTCGTTAAAAAAAAAATACTTCATCTACGTTTCGCCGGTGAAGAAAAAGAAGCTGGCTACTCACCGGAACCGTAATCTATACTCGGCGTGGGTGGAAGGCTGCTCTCAATGGCGGCCTTGCTGAACAGATAGATTGGATTCGTGTCGGTACCAGCCGAGTAGGAGCATACACGTGCATTTGGTTCCAAGCACTCGCCTCCGCTCATGAGCAGCACCTGATGCGCCGCTACCACGCCACATTCCCTCTCGATCGCCTCCATCAGCTGGCTGACACTGCACAGAAAAGTCAAATTACGCATCAACGCATCAGTAAGGAGCAGAGAGTATTCACACTTGAATATTACGGAACGGAGACAATTCTTTGTTCGACAATTTCTCTTCAACCCCTGTTGCTGTTCTTCGTAATTTTTAAAATAACGAAAAAACTACACGGATAATATTGAAAATAATATTTTCATCCATAATTACTTAATTATTGAACTGTGTAAAATAAAATTTTTGTAGAGAAACTTGTAAACACTATATATTTAGAATAGAGAGATGTATTAAAAATATAAATAAAACGTATAAATTATTACATATAGATTAGATTCTGTTTATGTAACTGCATATTATAAAATAAAATTGATCGATAACCTTCTCGATAATTCTGATAAATAAAAATTATTATGGACGTGAAGTCTTTTCTCAATGCTCCACGTTGGAGCCGGGAAAGTCTCTTCCGCTTCAGTAAATCAAGGGCGATATCACGCCTTTAGGCAAAGAAAAAAGCACCGGCTCGATTTGAAGGCTGAGATTACGACCTGATTTCTGTTAAGGAGCTCACACCGCGGTCGTAATTGCCGGATGGTGCATTTCCATCGCCGGATGCGATGCAACAGCGAAGAAATAACGAGGGTAAAAAGACGATCGGGCGCGTATTGTGAGCGCCTTAACGACGATAGAGCGGCGATTGCCGTAATAACGCTTCGCCGCGCGAAGATAGATGCGTTCGCGTAAGGACAATCACGAAGCCGCGACGCTCGGTGTCCTGACGTAACGTGACGGAGGAACTGCCATTAATTCTTGAAACAGATGGATGTACCGGTATTATTTCAAGTACAGTGGCAGTGCACGTGCCTCGTGTGTGTAATTAAACTGCCACCACTCTGTCAATCACGTACGGCTCGAGTGCGCTGATGCAAAAGGCATCGAGAGGCGGACGAAGGAGGAAAGGGGGGAAAAAAAAAGGAAAGATTAAAACTGACGTGATCGCGCGGCGTGCGGAACACCTACTTACGTAATCGCGTTTATAATGTTACTCTCTTAAATGTTATCTATCGCCATAGTTTTCAGTCCACGTCGTTCAAGTCCACTTTCGTAATTTCTTTTCTCGCTCTTTTAATCGTCTCGCGTATCAATATATATATATATATATATATATATATATATATAAACATTCTTACTTTACGCTTTAAAAAAAAGGGGTCTTAAAGTCGACTCGTTCGGAACACAGTGGTCATAAATGATGCTTAAAAGGAATCGAACGCGGTACGCCGGGCATCGTTAACACTCTAAGGCAAGGTTAATTAACGGATAAGGAGCGCTCTTACTTCAAGGAGAAGGCGCGCGAAAATGCGCGCGGCGCATTAATTATAAGAGGACGAGCTTGCAGTTTACACCGTCGACGTTAATAAAATTGTTGCTCTCGCAGATACGGCGACAAATTGACCGCCTTTCACAGCTCGAGTCGGTAAGGTTTTCGTCATCCGCGCGGAATATTCCCGTGGGGGGGGGGGGGCGGATGGAAAAAAAGACGTGACATCTCCGACGCGACGCGACGCAACGTTGCGCAAGCCGTACTCAATTTTCGTTTTCTCAGCGAGAATTAAATCGGCCGAAAGATGTCAGCTAATTTAAGTGGGTGATTTCAGCGTCAGAATTAAAGATCTCGGGTTGCGCTAGCGTTGATCGAAAGCGCCTCGCGCGCCTGGCACGGGAAAAAAACGTATCGAGCGCGGAATATCGCCAGTCACGTACTCGACGGCTACAGCTGACTCTACGGGCACATTCAACTGTGCGCTTCGTCGCGTCTCGAGACTGCGTGTCGTCGATGGTTACACACGTCACGTTACGGCACGGCACGGCACGGCGAGGCTCATATTTCACGCGATTTCGTCGCGTCGCGATTTCTTCGAGGTACTCGGATTTCTTGCAAGGGAGCGGAGAGAGGGACGGAAAATGAAAAGAAAGAGAACTCTCATTTAGATCGACGGTTATACATTTATTTGCGCGTCAATAGGCGCGCCAATAGAAACGAGCGAGCACTGGATGACGCGCACGACTTGTTGAAGATCGTCCAAACTCGAAGGAGCGCGGAGCGCTATTTTTAGCCTTTCAATTTTCAAAGTCACCTCTCTTCTCGGAAACGCGAGGCCTCGTTTGGGAAAAAAATTTCTTCCGAAGAAAAAAAGGAAATCCATGAAAATCGATCGATCGCGGCCATTAGCGAACGAAACTTATTTATCGGTTACAATCGAGGAGGAATATTACGCTTTCATTCCACGCGCAAACGGCCGGATGCAACTTCAATGTTTTATGATGATTGCGACGGCCGCATGTATTTTTCATGAATTTTCGCGAGAGATGTTTGCGCAAGGAGAATAATAAAACCGAATACGCAATTGCAATGACTCGAACGACGAAGTCGCATGATTTTCATTCGCGCAGATAGTTCTTATCGACTAATGTAAACAAAGCGAAGGTAACCGAGCGAGAGATATGAGCGTCAGTTGATATTTCCGCCAATACCAATGCGATTATCAGGAATCGACTTCTAGTCCTAGTCCCGTTTAATCGCAACGACAACGATGCGATTAGGCGTATTTGCTCAAGTCGGGTTTATCAAGCGGAGAATAAAGGCAAATCGAGGCGAGGGCACCCTCGCGGATTGACACATATCGTTAATTGCTGGCGACAAACAGGGCCGATGACCACGGTCTCCACGACCGCTATCTTCATCCATCCAGTGCGCAAAGGCTTCGGTACGGATAAAGTCACGGCAGGACGAAGGAGATCTAAGGAGAGAGAGAGAGAGAGAGATCGTCATATAATTCGAAATAACCACGTGAAAATTCACGTGCGTCGATCGATTCATTATAACAAATATAATCCGAAAATTGTTACGACGCAGCAATTTAGATTACAACGGTTGCATTGTGCTCCGATTATGCAACCTTCCTGGTCCGTCGTCAAACGTCGTCGGTAATTTTTTATCCAATTGACAGTGTGACGTCACGTCACTCGAATATGAAAAGAGCCTTGTTGTAATCCGTCGCTTCCCTTAGAAAACGCTGCGCATTAAGAGCTTGGCCGAGAGAGCTCGTTATATTCGACGACGACGTGATTCGGCACGCGTGAACGTGTGGCACAATGTAAAATGCGTCCGGCGCGCGCCCCGAGGGCCAAACGATATATTTTCAGTGCGGCGGTGCGTCACAGGCGGACGTGTGTTTCTCAAAAGCGCATAATCGTCCGCGCGATGAGACGCAGAACGACGTTATTCGACGCGCCGATACGACGGCTCCATCCGCGCATCCGAAAGACGTTTATCATACGGTAAACCGACGTGTAGAAATTACAATTCTCTCTTCCCTTTGATCAGCCACGATCATCATCGACGTAGACAAACGATCGTAATAAATAACTTTCTTTTCACGGACGAGACAGTACCCTGATAATTCCCCCTTAAAATGAACATAAATGATCATCAACGATTAATTATCGATAAATGATTATATACAAAATAAATTTTAATTTTTTTTACAATGAAGTTCAAAAAAACTTCTTTAAAATTATTGACAAAAAACGAAGCGAAGCTATCTTGTGCTGTACACGTTAATAAAATTACACGTTAATAAATTTATCATTTCCACATTAAATTGCATAAAATTATGAAACGATTATTAATTAAACGATTATTAATCGTTTCATTAATTAAGCAAAAAGCTTGGGAGCTGATTAAAGTTGCCTCTTGTAAATATCTCAATCCTCGCTAGATTTATGTACAAAGCGTCCTACATCTCGCGATTATTATTTTAATGATATTTCGAGTTGGTATTATCACGAAAATATAAAGCGAGGTCGTCACTTATCAAAATTTCAGTGTTATTTAGCGAATTATGTGGAATTATAGAGTATTGTATGAAGTGATTCTAGGAATATCGAATGTATTACTCCTCTTAACGATTAAAACTGGAGAGCGGAAGGAAATGTAACGAAGTTGAACTTTCTATGACGATACTTTTTCCACAAGTACAAAAATACATTCACGATATGCATTTGCGCTTTTCCTTTAAATATAGCCGCATACTTTTTTACATTAATCGATTTTTCTTCTGTGTATTAAGACAAGGTTATTAAAGAGAGAATACTTTACTATATTTTGCGTTTCGTGTCGGAATAAAAAAAAAACCTCAAAACAAAATATTCAAGTACTCTTCAATAATTTTGCATTGACAATTACATTTGTTTAAAATGAATTTGCAATCAAGGATAAATTCAATAATTATAAATAATTTCAATTTAAAAGGAAGCATTCGGGAGCTTGATTGTTTTCTTTCCCTTCACTTCCAAACGACATTGTCTCTTCGAATTGCTGGAGTCCCTGCTCGCTAAAGATCAGGAGGGGGGGAGATGAGCCGTTCGACCGGAGCGGTCGAGATAGTGGAAAGAGCGGTGCTCGTTTGCATCATGCGCGTATGTCATATACGCATCAGCTTGGCCGAGTTTCCTGTCGGGTCAAACTCGTGCGCGCCACGAGCCAATCCACACCCACGTGCGCCGCGCCGCGCCGCGCCGCGGCGATTTCGTTGTATATTATTTTCAGCGCGAGTCCGCGACGCATGAAAACCACCCGGAAAGTCTCCGCTCGTCTTACGATTCCTCCGATCTTCGAAGGATCTTCGGAGGCACGCGTGTATAAACGCGAATCCGTACAGCTCTTCGCCCACGACTCCGCCGCCACGGAGGCGGCACACACTTTTGCAATTCGTCAGCCTTCGACGGATCCTTGGATTCGCAGCCAATTAGAGAATCGCTAAACGTCGCGCGGTTGTTAATTGCGCATTATTATCGCCATTAAATATCGACGCAACCGGAATTCCATCTTGGCTGTCGTTTCCTTACGTAATCCGAGCGAAACGCGATAAGCGAGAAATTCCGACGTGAGAGAAATTCTCGTGTCGAGAGAGTTCTCTCGTTCGTTGATATGAATACCTATATACCGCGATATGAAAAATTACATGTGGCAGCTTACCTTTGTAGTGCCAGCTTGATGTCAAAGGTGATGGTGGTGCCGGTGTCAACGTGGAAGATGTAAAGCATGTTGCGTTTCTTAGGTAGGCGCCTTGCGGCGACGCAACGACACGGATAGAACTGTTACAATAGCCCCGATGTACCCACCGCCCCGCGGATGCCTCTCTCCACCTCCGTGGCCTCCGTTGGCAGCAACAGAAACAGCAACAGCAGCAGCACGAATGGCTCTCGGCTTGGACGGTTCCCTTAGTCAGCTTGATCGGGGCCGTACCCCACGTTCTCGATCGTTCGCGAGGACGGCCCCCTCGAGACTATGCCGCATCGATCAACGCGATCCTCGCCGTCGGTTCTGAGACAAAGCCTTCGATAATCGTACTTTCTCGCTGAATATCATCCACATATATGTATCTGTCTCGCGCACGAGAATCGTGGATCACTGCTTGGATCGTGAGAAATCTTCGACTCTCCGATCGTTAGAAAAAAAAAAAAAAAACTAGAGTCGTCAACGTCCCTTCGGCCTGAGTCGTTTTCTTTGTTCCTCGATTTCTGGGAAGCGAGAATCAACCACACGATGGGACGTCGCTCCTCGTGCAAGCGGTATCCAATCGCTCGAAAATCTACTTCCGCTTTTGTCAGAGACAACGAGCAACTCTGCCGGCTCTGTTGGGCCTTATGTCATACCCACCCGTGCGATATAACTCACAACGTACGCACAGTTTACGTCATCGAGCTGATTCCAGCGAGCGCGATCGTTCCAGATGCATCGATCAGCGCGTCGGGGGATTTAAACACTCGACATCACAGTCCGTTACGTCGAGATTCTCCGTGACAAATTCTTAGACACTTAGAGAAATCTTTTCGCTGCGTTCGGTAGCACGACTTCCGCCGTAAAGCGTTCCGAGATCGCTAAATCCACCTGATTTCTACACTCTCTCGATACGTCGTACGACGCGTCAGACTCGATGAAAATCCGTCTAGCAACGCGAAGCGTCGGCGATCGATTCGACAATCTCGGGGCCAGTCGCTGCCGCTGCTCCGACCGTTTCGAGGTCGGGGGTCGATCGACGGGGCCCTGACGACGCCGCGGTACGCCTCGTCGTGGGCGGACGCCCCGCTTGTCCCGGAGCGCTTCCGGATTGCCGACGACGCGCGAGAGAGCGGGCCGCACGAACGCGGCCGAATCACGTTGACGCGACGCCGAGGATCAAACGGCGACGTGCGTCATGAACGTAGCTGCCGTCGCGCGTCCGGATCAGCTGCTCGGCAAAACAAAGCACTCGCGCGCCGCGTTACGCCACCGCGTCCGCCGCCGCCGCGCTCTCTCGCTCTCCGTCGCTCTCTCGTTCGCTCGCTTCTCGATACGAGCGACACCGTCGTTCATCGGCAACGAACGGTCACGACGATTTTGTGTCCGTTTGTCACTGGGTGTCCTCTCGGAGAATCCGCACGATTTTTGTCTGGGACGATCCTTCCGCCGTGACCGAGTCGTCCCTCAAGAGTGTCGGCCTCGCGTTCTCGCGAGAGGAAAATGGATCCGACCGATGAGAGAACGCCGAATCAACCGCGCGACAACAACACAAACAATGCTGCGCCGTGCGCACTGTCAGTCTATGCGCAGAGCCGTCGCGCCGAGACAAAGAGACTCCGCTTTCCCCGCTGCTTTTCCACAGTGACGCCGCTCGCTCGGCTTCCTCGTCGATAAATCGGGATTATTCTGCGTCGGAGCGATTTACCAAGACGACGATACGCCACGGGCTTGGCTTGGACAGCGGCCGAGAAATGCGTCGGTCGGGGATCTCGCTTGGATATAATTGGATGGAAGGGAAGGGGAGGGACGACGGGCGGACTTGCTCCGTGCGATCCCGTTGAACGTTTCGTACTGACGCAAAGCGTCGCCAGCTGTTTACTGCTGCGCCGATCGCAGTCGAGTACGGCGGACAGAACGTCCGAGGCGCGATGGTGGGGGAAATGTTTCCAGTCGCCGCCGTCGCGCGACCCGCGGTGCTGGTGTCGCGCAGCCAGGGACAAACGTAATTTTGAGAGTCTTCGGGTCCGTTAGGCCTTAGAGTTATTCTTGTGGACCAAACTTCGATCAATTCAATCAGCGATTAATTCAATCGTAAGAATATTGTTAGCGAAAATTCTATTATCACGTTGTCTTTAATCTAATCATTCTTTCAAAGACAGAAATAAACTAATAATTCTATTCATGAAATACCATAGACATGCAGATCGTCGTTAGATAGCTTAATCAAAGTCACTTACTGGTGGCGATGTTTCTTAATTTATTAATTTAGTCTATGAAAGAATGAAGAAAAAATTCTATAATAAAAAAAGATGAAATAAGTAGTTTCAAAAATGTCGCAATTACGTTAAAAATAATATAGATATAAATATAGAAATAAATTTTCTCGACTTTAATTAATTATACAATAATATTTATTAAACAGAATTTTTAACGTTATATCTAATACGTAAATAATTCACGTAATTCCATATTAAATGTCGGCCCTGCAAATCGACGATCACGCTCGTGACGTCAGCGAGCGCATGCGTCGTTCCTTTGTTGTGAGAGACTAATATACATCTGACCTAGTGCACTGATGCTAGCTAATTAAACAATGATTCGGATAAATAAATATCTCTTTTCAAGACAACGTTTTTACATTGTCTACGCATCACCCTTTGATATCAAATAAAAAAGGTAATCTATTTAAGTGAATCATATTCGATGCGTAATCTATGTACACCTAAGACTGGCCGGTCTTTAAAACAACATTGAAACGCGCAATTTCGTGATACTTAAATTCAAGGCTAAGAACCCTTTGTCTTCATATTTATATGCGCATTATTCTTATACTTCTGTTCTCTCACAAAAAAAAGAACGAAATATGGTTATTTTTCTAACGAATCGTCTCGATGGCTATTTTTAGAAAACATTCTCGGCTATTTCTCATTCATAGAAGCAGAAGCGAAGCTTCGTTTAGCATAGGAACCCCATGCATAAGACACAGTCTGATTAAAATTCGGTCAAGAGAATAACACGTTATTTCGTTCATTTTCCTTAATATTGCAGTTTCGTGGCACGTAGCAACGCACTCGTAGCACGACGGTGCTGCTACAGCTGTTCGATCTTTTCGTTGCGCTTGCGCGACCTCGGGTCGGGATGCGGTTGTCGCGTTCCTCTTCTTCCCGCGCGTGCAGCCCAACAACAAAGCGTATTTCGAGCCGCGATGTGAATGGGAGGCACCGACGCCGAGACGAAGCGAGCCCGCGAGCTCAGCAGCGGCTACGCCGCGTTCTGTTTGTTTACCCTCCGCCACGCGCGCGATCGATATTCACACTTCCTGTATTCGTTCTACATCGAGTGAGAAATGCCTCGAGTTTTTTTCTCCCTCTTCCCCACATCTCCCTTTTTTCGCGTCGCCCCACTCTCCGTCCCCGCTCGCGAAGAAATTAGGGGCTCGTGGAGATATCACGAATATCGGGAATATCGTTACTTCCGAAAATAGCGCGACTCTCCCGAATATTTGCGAAAACTCGTAATCGCGCGAGGTTCGACGACACAGGTCAGAGTGATGCTGTAAGCGCCGAGGCGGGAGCAGATTTAGCAATATCCATCGAAAGAGCGAGAAGGTAAAACGCGCGTAGATGCGATACGATGCACGAGGCGTACGCGGACCGTTTGTCGAGGTAACACTTTCGATTTAGCGAACGACGCACTTGAGCGAGAAACGGGCCGCGATGTATTTTTTCCGTATTATTTTTTACGATAAGAGAAATGTCGCGCACACCGATCGCGCTTGGCGATTTTTTTTTTTTGGATCAAGTTATCTCGAATATTAGACCCGACGCGTGAGCTCTTTTTATCTCGTGTTGCATAAAGAGATAAAGTCCTCTATAGATTTATATAAAAGCGAGTAGGATCGTGTGCACCGCGAAGGTCTTCCTTTTTTTTGCTTAGACGTGAGTCAAGGATAGGCGAGAGTAAAAGTTGAACGAGATCTCGACGAGAACACCGTTATCCGGGCCGATCCGCGACGCGCGAATTCGGCGATCGCGACGCATTTTGACGGCGAGAGCGCGACGGATAATTAAAATACAATAACAATGCCTAGATGTGGTGAATTTTAATTCGAATGCGTAAGCGTGGCTTACTGCGTCGCGAATAGTTTCGACGCAGTAAAGACCGTTCTTGTCGTCGTAATTGCACGTGCACGCGGCAAGCTGATAAGGATGTCGAGTTCATGCTAAATGTGATCGGGGGAGTTGTAAGCACGTAATAATGTGCAATCATATGACCCGTAGACAAGATGACAAAGATTTTTTCGCGTCGCGGTAAAATAATTCGTATTCTCGAGAGAGCGCGATGCTGAATGCGTATTCCAAAAATATAAACATTATTTATCAATATTACGCGCGCAATGCCGAATGCACGTTCGTCGGAATATATTTCTGAAGAGATTTGTGTACGCACGCAATTCGATTACAATGATTCAGTATTCAATGACGCAATATCGTCCAACAAGAAATCGTCGACACTTTATGTTTAGATAAAAAAAATATGAGTCAGAAACTCAGGTAATACACTCATACGATGCGTCCCTCGTGAGTTGTCGCCACGTCGAAGCCACGTGCCATTAAAGTTCATACAAATTTTTCAGAATGCGAATCGCTCTCGTTATCTCGCTCTCCACCATCGGTGCCAGGTAACCGCAAATTTAATTTGACGTAAATGAATCAAATGTGAAAATTGATCCCCCCCCCCTCTCTAGGTCGTACAGATTTTAATCAATTCGCCCTCGAATGAAATCGTGCGGTCATCGTTGATCATCAAAACGATCTCTTTCCCCTCGTAGAAATGCATTCGCGGAAGCGAAGCGTGCCTCGAATGAATTTCAAGAAGTCTTGCATAAGAAAAATTGAGTAAATGTCAAAATATTTATTTATATTTCTTCTTTTTTTTTTTTTTGCTACATATGTGGATAGCTCGCGTTTGCATCTCAATGGGTGATTTCTATTTAGTGACACAAGTCGACACAAGTATCATTTTGTCCTTGTTAATCATTGAAAGCCAAGAAAGATAGAACGATACTTGTGTCGACTTGTGTCACTAAATGGAAACCCAATATATATTCGTCCTACGTTCCTATTCATATTTGCCGGATCTAGAAACAAGACGATAATCGATGCGTAAAACAGACTTACGAGTCTCGTGAATGTAACGAATAACTTATGTTTCGTCATCCCCGACGAATCTTCGAAAATCGCACGATAACATTCGACGGAGAACTCTCTCTCTCTCTC